GTGTGACACTTCCTTTAAACTTTTATTTATACGGATGTTTTTAAATAATGAACTATAAAAAACTAACCAAAATTAAATAAAAGCAAAGACAACATTTCAAGACTTATGAAAATTTGAATTTGGTGCGGCTATAATTTGTTCTACTACTGTACATAAGTTGACTATGATTACTCAGCCGTGCTATCATAGTAGCACAATGCCACTAAGCGCATTTTAAAATTTTCGGCCAAAAGCCTAATGCGATTATCGATTATATTTTTCGTTGTTTGTGTGATATATTTTATTTTTATCAGTATTTTTTTTTTAATCAAAATATGTTAAAATAAAAGTGAAACTAAAAAAAAATTTTTTGCCCGAACCTCCGCACAAAAAAAAATTCTGGCCATGGCAAACTCAAATATTGAGATACTACAAATATTCCAATCGAACACTCGTAGAATGATTGTTAACGCACCTTAATTAAAATTGCCACTATCGAGGAAGAAATTAAGAAATTTGCTACATCTTATCATCAGAAACTATCGATTTACCGCATTGTAATGAGTTATCGAAATTAGTCGATATAGAGCTATCAAAATTAATCGAATTATCGCAATTTATAGAGGTGGATATCCGAAGTTTATCGATTTATGTCGATATACATTTTAGAGTTATCGAAATGGATCGAGCCCTCGAAATGCGCAGTTATCGAAATTTATCGAAATTGGTCGAGTTATCGAATTTTGTTGGGTTATCGGGATTTAATGTTTTTGAATTTCATTGAACTATCGATATGTATCAAATGTTCGAAAAAGCTCTCCAAAGGTTAAATAAAAACTAAAAAAACGGTCGTTTTTCAACAGTAACGGGCACACTTAGTATGTCTTAAATCTAAAGAAATAACTCCACAAAAAATTAGCCGTCAGGTGATGCGGGGGTCGATTTTCTTTATTAACCACTAATAAAAGCTTGCCTTAAAAAAGTTTTAAATTACTTGCTAACTATTAAAAATTGAAAGTTTCTAAAGTTTAAAGAGTGCATAATAAGTATGTACGTATGTACTTATGTACACATATGTATGTGATATATTACTCGATGACTTGATAGAATGAATAATACAAAGCAAATAAATCAAACGATGACAAACAATTAAGGCCACAGAAAGACTTCCCACATAGGTGCTGCTATAAGTCTGTATGTATGTATGTATGTTTTTCATGAATACAATTATTACCTAGTAGCAAAATTCTATTTAAAGCTTCGTAATCAAATGAATATGTTTTGGCAATAGGCATTTAGCAGCAAAATCTCAACATTTGGAAATTTATGCAAAATGAATATTAATAGGGACATCACCATAATAAATTACGTGCGTAAATATCTTATCTTGCCGTGACGTTATCAGACAAACATTATCCGACTAAATGTTTACAAATATGTATGCAGATTTATTCATATGCATACTAACATACATATGTACACACATATGTATATGTTTATATACATATTTGTGCGATTATTTGTCATGCTGGCGGCATACAAATTGCTGCAAATCACAAGCAAACGCAAATTTGCATATCATCCACATACAAATAAGAGCTCACACACACATTTGTACATACAGTTGCGGAGCCAAGAGGGTGATGTATCTCTCCTTCGTCAATCAACTACTATTATTTACTCTTGAGTTTATCCTTTTAATTTATAACTTTCTTTATTAATTAATGACGAAATACATTTTTATTAATATTTAGGATCATCAGTTATGGGATTATGCATGCTTTGGTAAAAAATTTTCCAAGAGAAAATAATGCTGGAAAACAGACCATTGCACCACGATTATGTAAGTCACTGACTCAAATGATAGCCATCTCGTATGTCACAATGTCGTAATAGTTTATGAACTGGTGGTAGGACGTTCTTCACCCAAATTCTGAAATAGGGATTTCTTGAAAATTTTGCTGAGATAGAGCGTTTTTGAACTGGCTGCCGAGATTGATCGATCTTCTACTCAGCAGTCGATGTATTACTGCATAATGCCATTTGTTGGCCGCCGATTTGAAAGCGCCCTATCTCAACAAATGGCTGAAGAAGGCCTTATCTGAGAATTGGGCTGCAAGTTGCGACTTTAATCGCACAACGGCAACACTGTTGTGGGTATCAGACCCAAGTCATACCGCAATTTTCGCGACCTGAAATTGCTGAGACAAAATTCTACTACCTTCCCCCTCCCGCCCTCAAAAAGCCGAATTTAGACGGTCTGAAAATAGTAGTGCTAGCAGGCTTATTAATTTAATTTTAATTAAGATTATAGCTCAAAATTGTTTATCATCGCCCCATTCCCGCAATCCTGGCTACGCCACTGTGCACATGCATATATATATAAATATGTATGTACAGATACGTATATACAGACACCATTTATGTGATTATTGGTACATTTATCACCCTGTAGCACATTGCTTGCTTTATCGCCTGTACTCACCTATCGCAATTGGTTGCCCGTGCCTTGAGCGTATTGTCGATGCGCGCAGCATGTCCATTATGAGCGCTTGACCGGTGAGTTGTATGCCGCCTGGCACTATCTTCAGGTGCCCCATGCCATCCTGCAATGATGATAAGACAAAAACCATTGAAGGTCAATTAACAACAATTGAGCTGGGTAATGAGGCGTATGCCGTATATGTATGTATGTATGTATGTACGTATGTATGTAGTTATCTAAAATAGGTATAAAGTGACTGAGGTGACCGCGGCGTATGAGTGATGTCAACTGGTCGATTCTACTGCCATGAAAAGTTGCAAGCCTCGACCTGCTGACAACAAACAAACCACTGCACTGTATAGTAAGTGAATTTTGGTTGTTGTAAAATGTACAAAATATATGTATGTATACATTTGTATACTTGTGTGCCACACTCACCGTCGTAAATTCCATCACCTTCAGTATCCACAGCGTCAACACCAAATTGGTGATGATGAGCAGCATCAGCAGTACGAGCAGTCCATAAAGGCATTTCTTACGCCAACCCACCAACTCCAAATGCGCACCCAGGCTATCCATGAAATCGTTGTTACCTTTGTATAGTGTGTTGTTGTTATTATTATTGCTGTGATTGCTGCTATTGCCACTCGCACTCGCACTTGCACTGCCACTGCCAGTAACAGCAGCACCTTTGGGCATTCTCTTTGGCAGCGCTTGTTGTTGTAGTGTTTTCTCTTGTTGTTGTTGTTGATATTGACGTTGTGCCTGCTTCACCTTGATTGTGGCACGTTGTCGCTTGTCGTGTCCGTTCTGTTGTGAATTTGCAACCACCACCACTGGCGAAGCTTTGCTTGTGTGGCTGCCCACTAAATCGACACTGTCAGCGGCATAAGCAGCACGCGGCGTTGTTGTTGTTGTGGCAACTCGTGGCAAAGTGCGATTGCGTGGCGAGCGTGTGGTTGTTGTACTACTTTCAATGTGTCTAACAGCAGCGCCAGCATCGCCAACACTGCTAGCACCTGTGGCAAGTCCTAGAATGCTGTCAGCAATCGTTGTTTTTGCTTTTTGCGTTTCTTTTGTTATTGTTGTGGTTGTCGTCGGACCGCCACCATTCATCAAAATCGATGTGCTCACCGTAGCTGCATGTTGCAAGTTATTGCCGCCAATGCTGTTACGGGAAGGTGATTTTGAATCTCGCTGTTTTTGTTGCTGTTGTTGTTGTTCTGTATGTAGCGAATTTTTAATTAATGTTGCTACTACTGTTTGACTGCTCAAACAGTTATTGTTGTTATGGCGTAGTTGGTATTCAATTTGTTGATGTTGCAACTGTTGTTGTTGTTGTTGCTTTTTGCGCTTAAACGTTGCAGTTGGCGATGTGAACTGAAATGTCGCCGCTGTCTCGAGTTGAAGATCGCCTGCCGTTGAGTCTCGCTGTTGTTTTTGTATCAAATCTGGTGATTGCTGTGAAAGAATGTTGTCGCACAGTTTAGTATTGTTGTTAGCTGATATAGTAGCTGCGGTTGGTGGCATAAAACCATTTTCTTTGCTGCGCTTTGGTGAAGTTGGAAAATGATGAGCGAAATGTAGCGCGTGTGGCAAGTTAATGTTGCATGTTCGTGATATGATGCGAAATGCGTTTAAGTTAGTTTAATTGCATGAAGCGCAATGACATTGAGTGGTTATGCCGGTGTTGTGGTGGTTATATTAGGCGTTTGGCCGATGAAAGTGATTAGGTGACGGCAAAAGGTCGGCAAATGTAGCAAATGAGAGCAAAGAGTGTAAATTAAATGACTGCCTTGAACAAAAACAAATTAATGTAAAGCAAAATTTTTAAAGGATTTAACAGATGATTGTGGGGGTCTATGAAATAACTCCCACGAAAANCCACTTTTAAAAACGAAATAAGTCCCACCAAAAATTGCTATTTTGAAAGTGGGAGTTATTTCGTTTTTAAAAGTAGGACTTATTTCGTCAATTGGTGGGACTTATTTCGTTACGCGTTTTTATTTTAAGTGGGACTTATTTCGTTTTGAATGGGAATAAATTCGTTTTGTAAAGTGGGAGTTCCATTATTGCCAGGCATTGCGTCAATTCATAACCATGAAGGACAAAAGGCTCGCTCAATATATTCGGCAAAAT